GCCGCCTGAAATGGTGTTTTCCGGAGAGATTAGAGTCACAGCAAAACCTCAGCTCTCCATAGCGTCGTCGTTTTGCAAGAACAGATCGAGAAAGCTAGCCGATTTCGGGAGGTTCAATCCCAATCGCTGATTTCAGTGACCGTTGACATTTGACCATTTCGTCCTCTACAACTGTGATCATAGAAAAAAAGTGGAAGTACGGTTTTACCCTTGTTTTTTTTTAGCTCTATTCAATGTTCATCAGTATTTACCTGTACAACTCCACAAAATACAAAGAAAAAAAAAATACTCAAAATATTTTCTTTCTCATTTATGCAACTTATTTTCCCGAAATATTTTATTAGAAACAGATTATCCGAATAACCCGACCCGATTTCTCAGATTATGAAAGAACAAAACGTAGTGGATTGGGTGTGCTCCCCATTGTTGGCTACAACATGTGTGACTGTGTGTGTGTTTTTTTTTTTTTTTTTTTTTTTTGATTGAAGAGGGCGAAACCATGTGTAAAATTATGGTTATTTTTGTTTTGGTAAAAAGATTGTTATCAATTATCATGATCATATTTTTATTTGTTCCTTTGCTATAAAAACTTAACTTCTATTCTTGTTTGACTATGTCTTTTTCATCTAATTAGCAAGTCTAATATTATCTAGTCACAAAAATAAAAACACTTGTTGTTGTCTTTTACCTTTTGTTATTGTCACACTTAGGAGCTAAAGCTAGATGTTGGTTAAAGAGAAAGGAAGGAAGCAGGTGGCAAAGAGGTACTTCAAATCGTAGGGACCCTCAAAATTTAAGGTAGTGGGTGACAAAATAAAGAGTATACAAGAGTGAGTTAATGCAGAATACAGAGAGTATAACCACCACCACCAACAAAGTATCCACCTACCTAAATATATTAAAATAATTAGTTAGCGGTATCATCGTGAACATGATCCTAGATATACTAAATTAAAAAATGAGGATTGAAGATCAGTACTTAATAGGTATTCGAGTGTTGTCTAATTTATTTTATCAATATTAATTTTAATCTCAATATGACTAATATATTCTATTCGATACTATTCTTATACATATCACCACACCAAACGATCATTAAAATTAATAAGTTTGCTTAAAGTGTCGGGTCCGTGTAGGAGAGGAGAGGTAGTAAATGTTTGATTCAGACTTCACAAATGTTGGTGGGCTGATTCCTTTACTCCCATCACCCACACATTACTGTACTGTTGGGACCCAACTGCTAAGACACTCATCTCTAAATTTTTGCTATTACCAACAGCTACATGGAGAATTTTAATATCCTGTTTGATTACTTTATCAAACGTTGATTTCATCCCACGATTTTATATCGTAATATGATATTGCATGGCCAAACGCATATTAAATATGTGTGTCTATATATATTTACTATTCCATTCATTATGCAGTTGTCTATATCAAACTGTTCTATATTGCGTACATTAATTAAGTTAGACTACTATAATAAACAGACAAAATAATTTATTTTTTAAAAATAACCAACTTTACTTGGTGAAATTCATTTACGGCTGAGGAAAGAAAAAAAGCTTTATAATGATTATTATTATTATTATTATGGAGTAGAACGGTCAGAAAATTGAATAAAAAGGTACTCTAGTTTGGTGGAAGAGATCTTCTCTTAGATTTGTTATGGTTAATTTTTAAATAAATTAGTACAATTGTTATAACTGCAATTAGGGGTGTTCATGGTTTGGATAAAAACCGATCCAAACCGAAAAACCAAACCAAACCGATTAAATGAACCGATTTAATTTGGGTTTTGGTTTGGTTTGGTTTTAGATTGTTAAGAACCGATAGTATTTGGTTTGGTTATGGTTTTTTTCGAAAAAAATCTAAGAAATAACCGAACCGAACCAACAAGTTATATACATAAATTTTATTATTATACATACATAATATATTATATTCATAAACAATTTTAAAGATTTTATATATGTTTCATCAAAATTTATTTATAATTTACTTATGAAAGAAAAAATGTCCAATGTGAGAACATTTTTCTTATTGGTTTCATGTATATGAGTGTCTATGGAAATTCTTTGTGGGACTGAAAATGTCATTGTCTCTTCCTTCTATGCCAAAATAGTGAATTTTGAAGTTTTATTCAATAAATTCAATGATCGAAAGTTCTGTAATGCCAGCCATTCTAACTATTTTTTTGTTTGAATGGATTGTTGTCACTTTTTTCACGTTTTGAATGAATTGTTTCTTTTATTTTTATGTATGGTTAATAACCGAACAAAACCAAACCAAAATCGAAAACAACCAAACCGATAAATGTATATTACATTTGGTTTGGTTTGGTTTTGATAATTTTAAAACCGATTAAGTTGGTTTGATTTTGATTTTGACCAATAACCGATCCAAACCAAACCGTGAACACCCATAACTGCAATATTACAAAGTTGAGGTCTCATTATATTCTTTCCTCGCTTATTTTTATTTTTGATAATATTATCCTCGAATATGAAGCAATAATATCTTACTTAACAAAATATATGGGTAATTAAATGGTGAAACTGTTTAATAATTCTAAAAATTCATTGGTATTCACAAGTAAATAAATCAAAAGTGCATATTTCAAATAATTGAAAGTTAAATGTGTTTAGTCAGATATCACAATGACCAAAATTAGAATTTACCAATAATTTATAGACCAAACACGACTAAACCTTTTCTTTTTGTTCTTAAATATTTCAATTATCTTTTTGTGATACTTCCTTTGTCTCAAAATAATTGAAGTTGAGTTGAATCAGATTAATTCAATATTTTAAAAATTAAAATTCAGACATTTAATAACTATTCAAATACTATGAATTGCAATTCTTCTCATATCAATATGATGAAAGTATATATAAATCAAAATTCATATAAATTAACTCTAAAAAACCAAAACATGATACTTATAACTTGACTTAATTTAGTTCAAATTTAAACTCGATTGCCTATTTTGAAGATAGAAAAATTGAACTTCATAACGGATAGTATATATCTTTTATGAAAGAAAAAGGTGTGTGTTTGGGGGGAGGAAAAGGTATGAGCTTTCTTTAATTTATGTTTAATGTGTTACATACTCTTAAGTTTTTTTTTTGACTTAAAAAGAGCCCTAAATATTGTTATTCAAGATTTCATAAATCATTATCTGATGATTGAATTTGAAGGATTCAAGGAAAGTTCAACTAATTAGAAGTACTTTGAATATGACTTTTCCCTTTCATTTTCCAACTTTTCCTTTTTTCTATTCATAGAGGAGAATGGAAAAAGAAATAAGTTCGTTATCAATTTATTAGGGAAAATGGTATACATATATATATGAGTCATTTTCCTAACGAAAAAGTATATCAACGTTAAATGTCAAAGTTGAAAGGTATGTCAGACCATTTTCATTTAAAAAAAAAACTAAATATAGAGATATATATTAAAAGACTTATGGACCCTGAATTCATTTAGTTAAAAATTTGGGGACCATCCAGATTTTCGTATATTTCTTCTCTTTGTTTCTTTCCCTCCTTCCACAAGTTTTATTTTTAAGACACAAAGTACACAAATGTTCAGGTCAAATTACTATATATTGATGTCCAATAATAGCTCAAAAATTTGCCTTCATAAAAAAATAAAAAAAAAAGTTTGGCAAGTTTCACATTAGAAGTAAAAATATTTCATACTCTATTAAAAATGATTTTATTTATATTTAGTAGAACTTGAACCTGAGACTTGAGACCTGATTAATAATAAAAGAGTAATCATCTTTCCTTGTGCGTATAAGTTCTTACATTGTAGCTTGATTTATAAGATATCCATGAATTCGAATAGTAATTCACTTCTCTTGATTATATATTAATGTTCCAATAGCTCTTTTGATGTGCTAGTGTGGTCGCATTAAACGAACACCGTCATAAATTGAGCGAATCGAATTAGATACTAAACAAGTTGAAAACAAGTTAAATAAAATATTTAATTCGCTCATATTTAATTCACGTATAACTCAATCAGTATCATATCAAAGTAATAGAGTGCGTTATAAAAATTGAAACGTAAAATCACTTATTTTTTGGGTGAAGTTGGAAATGTAGATTATTGCGTGCCAATGTAATGGTGTACCAGATGCCAGATGGTATCAACTTTGTTTTGCTTTGTGGCAAGTGACTGAGGTGTGTATAAATGGAGTGAGCTGTATTCAGCCTTGTTATAAATGGTACTAGTTACACTTATTAATATGAATCCAAATATTGCAAGACAACTTCATTATGTATATTTTAATATGTCATGTCATGTCATTCTTTCTTCTCTGATGATCCAACGACAGATACGCCTAAAATGTTGTTAACTAATGAAGATAGTTAAGCAAGCTATATGGTTGAGTTAGTTAACCAATTAGCAAGAAGTTAGTTCGAAAGTTGCCTTGTTGACATGAGTTAGTTACTGCACCTGTTTGTAGTATAAATACACACTATGTACAGATACATTGTATCAAGTCATAAAAATACAATCAATACAACTCTCTCTTCTTCCTCTTCTAGCTATGGTGTTTAAGAACAAGCTATGAAGCTTTCATGGTATCAGAGCCCACGATCATAGAGAATACCTAGGTACTTCGATCTCACATTTCCAAAAATAGGTGAATCAGAAGAAAGCTTTAGGATCTCATGACTGGAGGTACAATGGAAGGAGCTGAGATTTAAGCCATCAGTACTAGAAGTGGCTCTCGCACAACCACATTCCATGTCATTGATCACAATCATCCTTTGTTTCTTTAACATACAGAAACTCCAGGTAGTTCTCTAATCTCTCTGCAATTACCATGATCAGAGAACTATGCTTTATGGAGTAGGTCATTTCAAATTGGTCTAGTAGGTCGAAGTAAACTAGGATTTGTAGATAGAAGATTCCCAAAATCTATGTTTGAGCCTGAGTTACATGATCAGTAGAAAAGGTGTAATGCAATAGTTTTGAGTTGGATTATGAATGCAGTGAGGCCTGGTCTTCGTAGTTCTGTAGTGTATGCATCTGATGCTAGGAATGTGTGGCTAGATCTAAGAGAAAGGTTTGACACTGTGAATGGATCCAGAATATTTCAGTTACATAGGGAGATTCATTCTCTCACTCAGGGTACAATGTCAATTCCTGACTATCACTCAAGGCTAAGAGACCTTTGGGATGAGTATGATGCTATCATGCCATGTCCAAGTTGTCCATGTTCGGAGTCAAAAAAATTTGGTGAACACTGCGACTATCAAAGGCTTCTGCAGTTTCTAATGGGGTTAAATGAGTCATATTCCCCTCCTAGAAGTTCGATCTTAATGATGAGTCCAATTTCTTCACTAAATAAAGCTTATGCAATGCTGATTGATCAAGAGAGTCAGAGAAATCTGGCAAGCAATAGTTCCAGTGGTTCAGGGCTGATAGAACGCACAACAATGTACACTCACAAAAATCACACATACAACAATGGAGCAGGATAATCAAAAGTACATTCCACCAATTCATTTTCAGGTGCTGGTGATCATGGTGGAGGATACAACAATAGTACTAGTTCTTCAGGAGGAAGCTACAAAACTAGAAAGAATTTTCTACAATGTGAACACTGTGCAAGGGTCATTCTAGGGAGCAGTGCTACAAAATAGTTGGATACCCTGCAGATTTCAAGTCCAAGAGGAAACCTCTGAATACTGTGATGTATGCTAATAAGGTGGATCTTCCTCCTAATCTTGGACAAGAGACCATAAGATGTAGCAACAAAGGGAAAAATGCCTCAGGAACAGGTCCACACACTGGTGCTTTTTTCACTTCTGCTCAGTATCAACAAATTCTCCAACTGCTTTCCAAACCTGGTGGTGAGAACACAACAGAGCCATGTGCAAACATTGCTACTACTGATGATGCAAGTTTGGTTCCTATTACTCTATCATGTAATTATGCCAATAAACAATGAATAATTGATACTGGAGCCTCTCATCATATCACATCTGACCTTGAACTTCTAGACAAAGCTAGGGAAGTTTATGCTCAAGGAGACAGTAAGGTACATTTACCAAATGGTAAAGTTGCAGCAGTCACTCAAATTGTAAGCACTTGTGTGCTAGTCAATTAGTCTATATCCAATGTGTTATTCCTACCTGACTTCAAGTTTAACTTGTTGTCAGTCTCAAAGATTACAAGAGAGTTACGGTGTATGGTTTGTTTTTTCCCTGACTTTTGTCTTTTCCAGGACCTCTCCACTGGTCTGGTAAAGGGGATTGGTAAGGAGGAACATGACTTATACATACTACAAGAGGGACCAAGTCAAGCTCCAAATAAGCAGGTCAATAGTAGTAAGCATGTTCAACTACCTATGTCTGTCAACTCTGTTACTCAATCTGAGTCTAGTAGTAGTATATGGCACAAAAGACTTGGTCATGCACTTATTGATGTAATAAAGAGGCATGAGTGTCTCAAGGCATTAAAGAGTAGTGATCAAATTCATTGTACTGTGTGTCCTTTAGCTAGACATACTAAACTTCATTTTCCTTCAAGTACTCATAGGACCAAACATGCATTTGAATTGTTGCATTGTGATCTTTGTGGACCTTACAGAGTTCCTACATATAATGGCAAGAGGTTTTTTTGTGACAATTGTGGATGACTTTAGCAGATACACTTGGGTGTTTTTAATTGCATCTAAAGCTGACACTATAGTAGTACTCAAACACTTTCTCAAGCAGGTTCAAAATGTATTCTCCACCACTATGAAAACACTGAGGACATATAATGGCTGTGAATTTTTCAGTGGTGAGGTTCAAACATTACTAAGTGACCTTGGCATTGCCCATCAGAGTACTTGTGTTTATACACCACAACAGAATGGTATTGCTGAAAGAAAGCATAGAACAATCCCTACCATGACCAGATCACTGAGGTTCAAGCTTCAATACCTCTCAAGTACTGGGGTCACTGTATCTCTACTGCTGTGTATATCCTAAATAGGTTCCCTTCTAGAGTACTTTCCTACAAGTCTCCATATGAAAAACTCTATCATCACTCTCCATCCTTATCCCACTTGAAGATTTTTGGGTGCTTGTTTATGGGATGTTCATCCACTAAAAAAGGGTATGTCCTATATGACATTCATGCTCATAGTTTCTTTGTAAACAAACATGTGGTGTTTCATGAAGAGTTATTTCCATTTAAGCACATGCAAGCTTCCTCAGAACCACTCTTTCCAGTTCTTGATATTGAACCACCTGTTGATATTTGTTCATCTGAGTCTGTAGTACCTTCAGTAGTACCTCCTTCTGAACCTCCTATAACATCTCCTACAGTTTCATCACACCATAGTCCACTACCACCTCATTCAACAGTTTCTCTCCCGGTTATTCATTCTAAGGTTTCTGTTACTTCTTCAAAAAGATCAGGCAAACTAAGTAGACCCTCTCTATGGCTGCAGGACTTTGTAACTATGCCCAAAACCTATAATTGTCTCTATCCACTAGCAGCTCATCTCACTTATTCTCATTTGTCCCTCTTTTATAGACATACTCTGCATGCTTATTCATCTATTTCTGAGCCTGCATCATTCAAAGAGGCTGCTGCTGATTCTGCTTGGGTAAAAGCTATGGATTTGGAGATTGCAGCTCTAGAAGCTAATAACACTTGGAGCATTGTTGACCTCCCTCTTGGTAAAATACCTATTGAGTGCAGGTGGATCTATAAGATCAACTTCTTGGCCTCAGAGGCAGTAGAAAGGTTCAAAGCAAGATTTGTTGCTAAGGGGTTCAGTCAGAGGAAGGGTCTTGATTATGGTGAGACATTCAGTCCAGTAGCAAAGATGGTAACGGTGAGGTTTGTGGTTGTTTTGGCTGCATCTAAAGGATGGTACATTTATCAGATGGATGTGCACAATGCTTTCCTTAATGGTGATCTAAATGAGGAGGTGTATATGGAGATTCCTAGTGGCTTTGCAAACAAGGGGGAGAGCATGAAGGTGTGCAAACTACACAAATCATTATATGGCCTAAAATAAGCACCTAGGCAATGGAATTTAAAGCTTACTGAGGCTTGGTGCAGATGGGGTTCACACAAAGTTATTTTGACTACTCACTCTTTACTAAACAGGCTAATGGTAACATTGTGGTAGTGCTAGTATATGTGGATGATCTTCTAATCACTGGTAGCAGCCCTCAACAGTTATGCAACACTAGGAAGAGAATCCAAACCAACTTCAAAATGAAGGATCTAGGAGAACTCAAATTCTTCCTAGGTATTGAGTTCTCTAGATCCAGCAGGGGTATTTTAATGACACAAATGAAGTATGCTTTGGAACTCATCTATGAGTTTGGGCTAGGAGGAGCCAAACCTGCCTACACACCACTAAAAATGAATCAGAAACTCATTTCTATTAAGTATGATGAGCATGTGGATAACACAGGGCCTAAAAGTGATGATCTACTTAAAAATCCTGCAGAGTATCAAAGACTAGTAGGAAGACTACTCTACCTCACCATGACAAGACCTGACCTTGCCTTCACTGTACATGTGTTACGCCAGTTCATGCACCAACCTAAACAGTCCCACTGCCCTAAGAGCGGTGAGATACATCAAAGAGGCTCATGGTTTAGGACTGTTAATGCCAGCCAAACAAACTACACAACTAACTGCCTACTGTGATTCTGATTGGGGAGCATGTGTGGAGACCAAGAGATCTGTTACAGGATATCTAGTAAAGTTTGGAGATGTTTTAGTATCTTGGAAATCCAAGAAGCAAGAAACAGTGTCAAAAAGTTCAACTGAGGCAGAGTTCAGAAGCATGGCTACTTGTTCAACAGAGATTACTTGGTTGTTAAGCCTATACAAAGAGCTGGGAGTATGTATAAATCTGCATGTACATATGATGTGTGACAGTAAGGCAGCTATTCAAATAGCTGCCAATCCAATATTCCATGAAAGAACCAAACATATAGATATTGATTGCCACTTTGTGATGGAAAGAATTTGTCAAGGAAAGCTGAAAACAGAACATGTTAACATCAAACATCAACTAGCTGATTTGTTGACTAAATGGCTGGGAAATGAACAACACAACTGGTTGATAAGCAGACTTGGAATGACAAATGTATTTCAACCATAAGCTTGAGGAGGAGTGTTAACTAATGAAGATAGTTACGCAAGCTATATGGTTGAGTTAGTTAACCAATTAGTAAGAAGTTAGTTAGAAAGATGCCTTGTTGGCATGAGTTAGTTACTGCACCTGTTTGTAGTATAAATACACACTATGTACAGATACATTGTATCAAGTCATAAAAATACAATCAATACAACTTTCTCTTCTTCCTCTTCTAGCTATGGTGTTTAAGAACAAGCTATGAAGCTTTCAAATGTCACATGCATTAAGTTTAAAAGCTTGTTACCGTCATCAACCCGCACTCTATCATAAGCATTACGTTACACAAAAGGTTATCTATTTCTATGGCTCAAATTTGAAATAATTGGTCAAGGATAAAGATATTTCGACCATCTCGATTGCTACTTGATCTCATCTAATTACTTGATATACTCATTTTAGTAGAATGACTATTCATTTTTAAAAAAAGGGCATAATTAAGAGTATTCAAACCCAAAATGGCAAAAAATTGACTAGAGAATTGGCTTTTGGGAAAGAAGGGGAAAAAGGTGAAAAATAATATTTTTTGGACTCCATTGAAACTAATTTTAGTGCTTGGAACTTTTGTAAGATGTGAACCTAATTTTGGTGTCATTGTTCAGATGCAAGGACTCTACAACATCTGTTGCAGTGCTTGTATAGGATTTTGTTATAATCTAAATTACAATCATTGTAGTTGAAAATTTTGTTAAGACTTGGTGACTTTCTATTTGTTCTTATTGCACTATGTGTGCCCCTCCTCTCCCCCCCCCCCCCCCACCCTTTTTTTTTTTTTTTTTTTAATTTTACAGTCAATGAGAATAATACAACATGAAGGAACAAAGACGATATTGAATGAACTCCTTTGTTGTACTATACAATTTGCTTTGAAATCTATTCGAATGGCGTGAGATATCTTACACTTTGCTTTCTTGATGCATGAAAGTGCTTTAATGATCGCCGAAAGATTTTTTTTTAGTGATGACTTATGGTAATTCCCAATTTTATGAAATTTTTAATGAGATTTTGGGAGTTGTTAAGAGTTTACTTTAAAAAATTGCGAAGTCTTATCGGATTTATGGCTTGATTGAAGGGAGGCCAAAGCCTAAAGCAAAATAAGAATACATTTTTATAGAATGTTTAAGAAATATTATCACTTGAAATTTGATACTTTGTAACATGGCTAATTCTTGTGCAAATGTTATATGATTTTTACATCTAACATACAATATATATATATATATATAATACAATGTATATATTTATTTTTTTCTTCTAATAGATTCTAAATAATGTACCCAATCTGATTTTTAAATTATTGTCACAACTCACAATCATGTTGATAAAATGCATTGAAAATCTAAAAGCAATATTATTTGAAAATCCACAAATAAAAGATGTATTGTTGAAATTACTAAAAGTTAGTGATAATTCAAAAACTAATTAAAGTGAAACTATTTTGTTTTACAATGTATATATGATCTTGATAATTTGGAGTTTTTATTGGTTATGATTATTTGGCAGGATATATTGATTGTGATTAAATTTTTTTAAAATCCAAAGATATGCTTATTAATTTGTCGTAGATCGCAAGAGGTTTGATTATTTTTAAAATAAAATAAAATATCTATAAGAAAAAACTGCAACCAAATGATTTTCCCTAGAGAATTGCACATGATATGGATATATTATCTGAATTTCACAACAAAATGCATAATTTATAAAAAGAAATAATTTATGACAATGTTGATGATAAAATCACAAAGTCTATCAAGTTTTTTTTAAGAATTGATTACTTTTTTTTTTTACATATGGTAGACTAATCAATTAATTTTCCTTCAAATTGATTAGATCATTCAAAGTGTATGAAAATATATTTAATTACATATAATTAGCGATAGAAAATTGAGATCATCAAACGAAGAGAGTGATAAAAAATTATTGATTGTTTAGATTTATTTTCTAACGCAAAAAAAGTAAAAGAAGATGTACTCAACAGCCAAAAAACCCTTTTTTTTTAAAAAGAAAAGTATTTGTATTACTTATAGAATTGACTTAACAATTTCCACAACAGAAATAAATTTTCAAAATTAAATTGATGAAATTCCGCCTAAAATCAATAATGTCTCAAAGGAAATGAAAAAGAATTATTAAGGACTTCGCATATAAAAAGAATGATTAAGGACTTCGCTTATATGTTAAATTAGGTCTTAGGCCTAACTTACACCCCAAAAGCTAGCTCAAAGGGAGGAGGATTGCCCAAGCCTTATAAGGAGTCCACCCATCTCATTAACCATCAATGTTGGACTTTTGTCATTCTTTAACATTATAACAAAAAGGAATTCTAATAATCATTTTTATTAAAAAAAATTAGTACAAGACCTTTCATAGAAAATTGATTTTGGGTCCTAATCTTATTGTGCTACTTCTTTACTATTTAAATGTCATTTATGGTGGCCAATGATTTATTTGGTGTCCAATCGAGTCAAAGATTATAGATTTAAAAGCTTCTTATTTTATAATTCTACAATTAATGGACATTGACATTTCTTTCTTTCCATCACTTTTTGAAACTAATCCAAAAGAGATTATTATTATTATTATTATGGGGAGAAATGAAAAGGCCAAGTCGTCTATGGCTTACTCTTACAAAAAAAACAAAATGCTGCTTATTTAAATACGTACTAAATAGGAAATTAGCTAGGACGAACTGACTATTCACATAATAATTTAAATTATGATGTCACTAATTTAAATTCAATGGTCTGTTGATTACTGCTGTCTAATTAAGTCTTTTGTTTTGTGTTAAAAATATAAACTTGATATTTGACCAACACAAAAGAAGAAGAAAAAAACGAAAATTAAACAATTTTTATAATTTTTTAAAAATCTAAATTAAAGTCATAGAATGTCATTTAGAGACGTAGTCAACGTTTGTTGCATTAATTTCCTTGATATTCTATACGGATGTCATTAGGAAAATACGTCAAGTTGAATAACAATCCAAATTGGTGATATTTTTGCTGGGTAATATATTCTAAAATTCATTAAATTTTCGATTTCGAAGAATAATTTTCTCCAATGTCATGTATTTATTGAATATCCCAAGTCGTCCATATTTTAAAAGACATGAAAAGTATCAATTATTATGTGTAGCATTTCGAAGAAAATATATGTTAGGTCCCAACTCCTCAAGAAAAGTGACCACAAGTTTAAATGTCAAATATAGCTAATTAGCAATAGGGAAAACTTTGAATCGCAAGTTTAAAGTTCCACATGTATTAATAATATAAAATGATGACCTTCCTAATTTGCATATTACTATTCCATCGGTATTTATTATCCGCTTTAATTTTGATTAATTCAAATTCGTATCCAAAAATTAAACTTCCCACTAATAATTAATATCTCTCTAGTAACGTGTTCGTAATGAGTATTATAGTTTGTTTGATCAAACTTTTGAAATTAATTATTTAAAAAAAAAGAAAAGAATATTGTCTTCTTTCAGTTTATATGGCATCGTTTGACTTAACACGATGTTTAAGAAAAAAATATTTTTTAGAAAAAACTTGTGGTCTACTAACAATCCTTAGATATTTGTGTGGTTGTAAATCATTTCAATAATGATAAAAAGGAAAATTTAAAAGTTGAATTGGTTTCTAATTAGAGTAAGATGACATTCATTTTGCAACGAACTAAAATGAAAAAGGTGCCACATAAATTGAGACAAAATTAAGGATTATGTTTTTATGAGAAATGGTTTGTATTTGACCAATGAATTTTAAAATACACTTTAAACAACAATTAATATTTGACCGAACATTTCAAAAATACTTCTAAATGTATTTGCATTTGGGAAAAAACTTTTACTCTTGTTTGATTTCTAAGAAACAACTTCGATCTATTAACCTATTTTCTCCCAAAAGCTTAACCAAACGTCTTAATTTTTTTTAAGGTAAACACTTTTAGCCAAACATGCTATTAATCTTAATTACCTAGCAAAAGTTGGTAATTGTAACTTAAAGCGATAATTAATGAGTAAAGTAACTTGTTAGTGCACGGCACATATCTAATGAACTCCCAACTCTAGTATACTCCGTGGTCCAATTTTCCATCATTAGATTTGCTTAGTTTATTTAATTATTTTAGGAAAACGACCATTAACCGTCCATGTTTGATGTTACCACATATAAGGATATTTATTTTTTCTCTAAAATAAAATGTGGTTTTGTTCCCCTTTCCTCCAAGATTATTTGGTCCCAAGTTTTCCCCCATATAATACTAGCATTTGGGACCAGTGATTCACACTTTTAAGAACGAAGAAGCTTCAACTATTCACAATCATATATGTTAGTCGTACACACTTTTACTATTCCATTAAATCATAACAACTTACATTAATATAGGAATTGAATTACTCATTAGTATCAATATATAGTCAATTTTAAAGAATTCATTTAGCATTTTTTTCTTAATAAATTTTATAAATCATACTCATTTTCTAATTCTCATCCATTTTAAAAACAGCTATTTCACATTTTTGGGTGCACTTTGGTCCCAAGTCTGTGTATGTGGATGACTTTTTCACCATAATAAAAGGCAATTTTGCACCATATATTATGATATGATTCTCTCTTCTTTAAGGGCAAACAGCTAACCACAAACTACCCATTCATAAATCATAATAATATTCAAAGCTGACTTCCTTTTCAATTAATTATTTCATAACTTTTGGTCTTACTTTTCACATTTAGAGTCTTCATTTCAATAATGACAACTCTATTTCGCTTAACCTTTACACATAAATCATTAAATAAATATAATTATAATCATAATATTTATTATCTGCCATCAATAGAGATATTAAATAATTTAAATTTGTCCAACAATGCTTAGAAAATTGGAAGAAATCACTTAATTAGAATTTATTTTCATCTTGTTAGGATTTGTAACTCCACACAAGCCTTTATTTACTATCGCTATATCTC